TTAAATAAAAATGACATTGTCAAAAGCTGGAAGGGAGGATATATAACTAAGGGAAAATATGAAAGGATAGTGAGTCTATAGTATTGTTTTAGAAGAAAAGCATTCGGATACACCTTCCAGAGCTATTAACTCTCTCTCAAAGCACACTTTTGGAAACTGGATTACTTAGAACTGCAGACATGCACAAGGTACTTCTTGAATGATTTATTTTAGATTGAGGAGATTTAAAAGGCTGACACACACGTAGATTTTTGTTGACCAGGTCATATAAAAGCTGTAATTCAGTAAAACGTTCCCGTTTTTTGGTTTGAAAATTTTCAGGAAAGACTTGTAAATAATTAATTAGTTACTTGGTATATTGTCTGTAGTTTTTGGCAAAAAGAAGAAAAAAAAAACTAAACAACAAAAAAAGAATGTCTTTCATGCAGTGATCACCCCAAGGCGCCTGCAGTTCAGAGGATAATGTTTAGTTGAGATGAAAGAGATGGTTTCTACTGAGGAATTTGTTTGACCAACAAAGGGGCCTTTATGCACGTTTGTGAGTTCTGGAATTAATCTTACAGTACCACTACGATCTGGGTAAACCTAGCCAAGTAAATGATTTCTAGACAGAAAAAAGAAATCCAGAACTCATGGAATACATTCTGAAGGACAAGCTCAGTTCTTAAAAACTGTTAAGCCTTATGACTTAGAATCAAATAAAAATGAGTGTTAGATATCTCTTCCTCATTTCTTTGATGATGACTAAGGCCTGAATGTGTTAAGCAATTTGACCAAGGTGACTTGGGTAATTACTTAAAGTGCCAACTCCTTGGCCAGTGCTTATTGTAGTTCAACAGAGTCCCATCATACATACATTGAATTTCTGTAAATTTCAATTATTGCACATGGCAAAAAAGGAGAAAAATACTGGAAAATTTTATTTTCATATAGTTTATCACATACATAAAATATTCATATATCCATATTATCTATATAATATATATAAAATATTCACATATCCATATGATTTTTTTGTTTTTTTTTTTTTACACATGTCCTTTAAACCAATGCAGTACACATATCCATATGATTGTATAGGGTTGTATACATACAATCATGTACAGTCAACCCTCCGTATCCATGGGTTCTGCATTATGGATTCAACCAACCACAGATTGAAAATATTTGGGAAAAAATCCAAGAAAACAATATAACAATACAATATAATATAAATTTTAAAATATGGCATAACAACTATTTACATAGCACTTGCATTGTAGTAGGCATTATAAGTAATCAAGAAATGATTTAAAGTACACATGCTCTTTGACTTATGGGTTTAGCTGGACATGATTCCATCATGTCAAGTAGCTTATTGAATGCTGGCTGCTTTTGCACCATTGTGAAGCTGAAAATCATAAGTCAGGGACAATTTGTAGACAGGAGGATGTGTGTGGGTTATATGCAAATACTATGCCATTTGATACGAGGGACTTAAGCATCCACAGACTTTAGTATCCTGTATGTAGGAGGTGGTCCTGGAACCAGTCCCTCTTGGATACTGAGGGGTGACTGTATACATTAAGTGTAACTTAAGAGGTTTCCCAGGGGTAATTTTGGCTATAAATGATTTGCATCCCATGTAGAAATTGAAAACCTAATCCCCTCCTAATAAAGCACAATGCCTTGATTTCCATATTCCTTCCATCATTATATTACAGGTCAAACCATGTCTCTAAAACATGACATCATGTTATAAGAGCCAGGTTTGACTCAGTTTAAAATGCATGTGTGATTTTTGTCATAAACACCAGCAAAGTTCCATCATATTTATTCATAGAGTAGGGTTGTGCTAATTTTGAATTCAGTGTGGAGAAAGGAGCCCACTGGGCTGACCCTTCTTTGGGTGGTTTTAACTGTCACTTCAATCACCAAAAGCTCTGCAGGTGTCTGATGTGGGGCCTGTGCAGGCTTTCTCTTTTCTCTAGTTCTGACCAGGTGCTTACCATTCCAGGATAGCTCTCCTGCCAGTTCTGCTGGCCTCTCCACCTCACTGTCCTTTTTCTCACTTATTTCTAGCTCCTCTTCCATGCAAGTCTTATAAATGGCAGTCTTATTATTATTTTTTAATTGCATTTTAGGTTTTGGGGTACATGTAAGATTGTTGCATAGGTACACACATGGCAGCGTGATGTGGTACCTTCCTCCCCATCACCTATATCTGGCATTTCTCCCCATGCTATCTCTCCCCAACTCCCCAGCCCCCACTGTCCCTCCCCTATTTCCCCCCAACAGACCCCAGTGTGTGATGCTCCCCTCCCTGTGTCCATGTGTTCTCATTGTTCAACACCCACCTATGAGTGAGAACATGCGGTGTTTGATTTTCTGCTCTTGTGTCCGTCTGCTGAGAATGATGATTTCCAGGTTCATCCATGTCCCTACAAAGGACACGAACTCATCATTTTTGAAGGGCTGCATAGTATTCCATGGTGTATATGTGCCACATTTTCCCTGTCCAGTGTATCATCGATGGGCATTTGGGTTGGTTCCAGGTCTTTGCTATTGTAAACAGTGCTGCAATGAACATTCATGTGCATGTGTCCTTATAGTAGAATGATTTATAATCCTTTGGATATATACCCAGTAATGGGATTGCTGGGTCAAGTGGAATTTCTATTTCTAGGTCCTTGAGGAATCACCACACTGTCTTCCACAATGGTTGAACTAATTTACACTCCCACCAACAGTGTAAAAGTGTTCCTATTTCTCCACATCCTCTCCAGCATCTATTGTCTCCAGATTTTTTAATGATCGCCATTCTAACTGGCATGAGATGGTATCTCAATGTGGTTTTGATTTGCATTTCTCTAATGACCAGTGATGATGAGCATTTTTTCATATGTTTGTTGGCCTCCTGTATGTCTTCTTTTGTAAAGTGTCTGTTCATGTCCTTTGCCCACTTTTGAATTGGCTCATTTGTTTTTTTCTTGTAAATCTGTTTTAGTTCTTTGTAGATTCTGGATATCAGCCCTTTGTCAGATGGGTAGATTGCAAAAATTTTTTTCCCATTCTGTTGGTTGCCGATTCACTCTAATGGCTTTTTCTTTTGCTGTGCAGAAGCTGTGGAGTTTGATTAGGTCCCATTTGTGTATTTTGACTTTTGTTGCCAATTGTAGCACACCTTTTCAATCACGGCTATTTGGGAGGCTGAGGCAGGAGAACCGCTTGAACCCGGGAAGGAGAGGTTGCAGTGAGCCAAGATCATGCCACTGCACTCCAGTCTGGGCGACAGAGCGAGACTCTGTCACAAAAGATAAAAGAAGAAACATTACAGATAAATGAGAACCACAAAGAGGGAGCTTCCAATTTTTATGAAAAATATTATTTTTTGTTTGTTTGTTTGTTTGTTTTTAGATGGTGTCTTGCTCTATTGCCCAGGCTGCAGTGCAGTGGCATGAACATGGCTCACTGCGGCCTCAACCTCCTGGGCTCAAGCAATCCTCTCACCTCAGCCTCCCAAGTAGCTGGGAACACATGTGTGCACCACCACACCTGGCTAATGTTTATTTTTAAATTTTTTGTAGAGATGGGGTTTCGCCATGTTTACCCAGGCTGCTCTTGAACTCCTGGGCTCAAGTAATCCTCTTGACTCAGCCTCCAAAAGTGCTGGGATTACAGGCATAAGCCGCTGTAATATGGTGGCAGAAAAATGTTCTTAAAAATTTGGATCTTTAGTCCTGGACATCATGTCACCTGCATTTGCCTCTCCTGGGCCCCAGAGGAAATGTTACACTAATATAACACTTGTGGATTTAGGAGAACACATTGTGGAAACTAGTCAGTTGCTAAATGTATTGCTGAAGCTGAGAATGTACTTATCATGGAGCGGGTAAAAGGTGCAGGCGATACTTTAGGAGACACCCTCAGATGAATATGTTTCCACATTTGTGTTGGGAAACAGCAAGGGCTTCCTCAGGCTTGTGCTCAAGAGGACAAAAACCTGGCTGAGAGCCACAGCAGGAGATTTACCTTACCTCTTTGAATACGTTAAGACACTTGTAATGTGTGGTCATTGTGGGGATTTAATTTCTCCCCTGAATGTGACAGTGAAGTTCTTATTTATTTATTATTTATTTTGAGATAGAGTCTTAGTTGCCCAGGCTGGAGTACAATAGCGCAATTTCGGCTCACTGCATCCTCTGCCTCCTGGGTTCGAGCAATTCTCCTGCCTCAGCCTCCTGAGTAGCAGGGATTGCGGACGTGTGCCACCACACCCAGCTAATTCTTTGTAATTTTAGTAGAGATGGGGTTTCACCATATTGGTCAGGCTGGTCTCAAACTTTTGACCTCGTGGTCTGCCGGTCTTTGCCTCACAAAGTACTGGGATTACAGGCGTGAGCCACCGTGCCCAGCATGGCAATGAAGTTTTTTTTAAGAGAAAAGAACATTGTAGCTTCAACAATTGTCAAACAATTGTGATGGAATTTTTAAAGGGGGGACAAGAGCTGATTCTTTGTTATTGCTATTGCTCTGTTGACTGTTCATGGAGGAGATGAGTATGAAACAGTGTTGTTTTTTGTTCTTTTTTTTTTTTTTTTTTTTTTGAGACAGGGTCTCCATCTGTCACCCAGGCTGGAGTGCAGTGGAGTGATCATGGCTCACTGCAGCCTCGACCTCCCAGGCTCAAGCGATGCTCCCAGCTCATCTCCCTACTAGCTGAGACTACAGGCATGTACCACCATGCCCGCCTAAGTTTTCTATTTTTTGTAGAGATGAGGTCTCACCATGTTGCCCGGGCTGGGGTTGAACTCCTGGCCTCAAGTAATCCTCCCACCCTGGCCTCCCAAAGTGCTGGGATTACAGGTGTGAGCCACCATGCCAGGCCTGAAACAATTTTTAAGGAAGAATGAGAAGTACTTTGGGATACCTTGGGTTAATATTTCTGGCAAATAAGTTGGAATCTAGAAAGTTATACTCTCATTTGTAAGTTATAGCCAAATCTGGTTTCTTGTTCCAAGGTTGTTGATATTCTGTGGAGTGATCCCAGAGGCAAAAAAGGCTGTTTTCCAAATACGGGTCGAGGAGGGGGCTGCTATTTTGGACCAGATATTACTTCCAAGATTCTTAATAAATTCCAGTTGAAGATGATCATCAGGTCTCATGAATGTAAGCCCGAAGGATATGAAATCTGTCATGGTGGGAAGGTAAGCTTAAATTGTTGTTGACATTCCAATGGACATCCTTCCTCCAAGCACAATCTTTCCTTCGCAGAGTATGTCTGACCTAGAAGCCCTTGAGAAGATGTCTTCCCTAGCACCAAACAGAAACCAGAGAAGGCAGGGTCCATCTAGGTTGTCTGAAGGGGCCTTACTATCCCTTGTCCTAAAAGATATTTGGTTCATTTCCCTGATCTTCCATAATCCCAGAAATTCTTTTTTTTTTTTTTTTTTTTTTTTTTTTTTTTGAGGCGGTGTCTCACTCTGTCACCCAGGCTGGAGTGCAGTGGCATGATCTCGGCTCACTGCAACCTCTGCCTTCTGGGTTCATGTTACTTTTGTGCCTCAGCCACCCAAGTAGCTGGAATTACAGGTGTGCGCCACTATGCCCAGCTAATTTTTATAATTTTAGTAGAGACGAGGTTTCACCGTGTTAGCCAGGTTGGTCTTGAACTCCTGAACTCAGGTGATCTGCCCACCTCAGCCTCCCAAAGTGCTGGGATTACAGGCATGAGCCACTGCGCCCGGCTGCAGAAACAGAAATTCTGATACATGGCAGTAAGAAGACATAGAAAGGCTTGGTTCTTTACTACTTGTAAGGCAACTGTCCCATACAGTGGGGTTGAGAATGTCCTTTTCCTCACAGAGCGCATAAAAGGCAGCAGTGAATCCAGTTTACTCTTGCACTTTTTACATGTTCCCTGTGCTGGGCCCAAAACACAAAACACACTTGCCTTCAGCTCCCTGAGTGGGGACCTCCAGCAGGTTGCTCACTATAGTCAGTTTAGCCGCAGCCGCTAAAATGGAAGGTGTGGTGCTCCTTCATGGTTCTGATAAGGCTAAAAGAGGTGAGGACCAAGGAGCTGGTTTCTTGTCCAAAGTTTTTCTGGAATGCACTCTTTTTCTTTTTCTTTTTTTTTTTCTTTCTTTTGTTTGATACGGGAATCTCACTCTGTCGTCCAGGCTAGAGGGCAATGACGCGATCTCGGCTCACTGCAACCTCCGCCTCCCACATTCAAGTGATTCTCATGCCTCATGCTCCCAAGTAGCTGGGATTGCAGGCGCCTGACACTGCGTCCAGCTAATTTTTGTATTTTTCGTAGAGACAAGGTTTCATCATGTTGGCCAGGCTGGTCTCAAACTCCTGACCTCAGGTGATCTGCAAGCCTCAGCCTCCCAAAGTGCTAGGATTACAGATGTGAACCACCACACCTGGCCTGGGATGTACCTTTTTCTATAGTGAACAGCAATAAAGAAAAATGGATACCAAGTTATGTGGCATTTCCTGCTGTGTCAGCATTTTGCTTTTCTGAACTCTATTAATTCATTTTCAGCTCATACTAACATTGCAAGATGAGTAAGGCAAGTATCATTTAGCGTTTCTTTGTAATAAGAAAATAGAGAACAGCAGTGGCTTGTCTGAAGTGACATTCTCATTGGGAAAGAACGGGGCCTAAGCCAGGTTCCCCGTAACCCACAAATATTGTTATTCTACCATAGCCCCAAGGCTAGTTCCTTCACAAGACAGTGGTTGTGGTCCCTTATTCTAACCACTGCATCTCTGCCCTTAAAGCACTGACTTTCTGGGGCCCTGAACCCTCTAAATCACTCAGCTCCAACCAGAAGAAAAAAACTGAAATACTAGACAAATTTTGTTCTGAATACTCAAGTATTACAAGGCAAGAAGATAGGGGATTTAAACCTTGGAAAAAGAATTTGCAAAATCAGGCTGGGTGCGGTGGCTCACACCTGTAATCCCAGCACTTTGGGAGACCAAGGCAGGGAGATCACAAGGTCAGGAGTTTGAGAACAGTCTGATCAACATGGTGAAACCCTGTCTCTACTGAAAATACAAAAATTAGCCGGGCATGGTAGGGTGCACCTGTAATCCCAGCTACTCAGGAGGCTGTGGTAGGAGAATCACTTGATCCCAGGAGGCAGAGATTGCAGTGAGCTGAGATCGCACCACTGCACTCCAGCCTGGGTGACAGGGTGAGACTGCGTCTCAAAAAAAAAAAAGCAAACTCAGACATTAAAGAGGATTCTGAGATTTGGCACTAAAATTGTACACAGGATTACAGGGCATGCACTGAGGGTGTTGGCTGAGTGGCCAGGCGTCAGTGCTCCTGGGGACACAGTAGTGGCCTTGCTCTCCTCTGATGCAGTCACAGGAAATCACATCAGACGTGGATGATTTGCAGAGATTATGAACTTTCTTTGATGTTTACTTTTTAAGAATTGAGCTATTTCTGACTTTATTGAATGACCTTTTGAGAATTAATTTTTCGTGAACCTGACCCTCTTTTTTTTTAACCAGGTTGTGACTATATTTTCTGCTTCTAATTATTACGAAGAAGACAGCAATCGAGGAGCTTACGTCAAACTATGTTCTGGTGCAAATCCTCGATTTTTCCAGTACCAAGTAACTGATGCAACGTGCTTTCAACCTCTTCACCAAAGGTGGGTATACTCTATGGAGAATACCGAGCACTGGTATCATGGATCCATTAGAACCAGTCCCAAATCACTAAGAGCAGCCATGTGAGTGAAGACAGCCATTTATAGGTTACTCATTAGTATCAACAACATGGAAATCGTTCTAGACACCAAGTGGTGAATGCACTCATATTTGAAACAAAAAGGAGCAATTTAAAATTCATACATCCTTTTTTTTTCTTTGAGACTGAGTCTCACTGTCGCCAGGCTGGAGTGCAGTGGCGTGATCTTGGCTCACTGCAACCTCCCACCTCCTGGGTTCAAGTGATTCTCCTGTGTCAACCTCCTGAGTAGCTGGGACTACAGGCACATGCCACCACACTAGCTAATTTTTTGTATTTTTAGTAGAGATCCAGTTTTACCATGTTAGCCAGCGTGGTCTCGATCTCCTGACCTTGTGATCCACTTGCCTTGGCCTCCCAAAGTGCTGGGATTACAGGCGTGAGCCACCACACCCAGCCCATACATCTTTTTAGATAGATACGGCAGTCAGTCCCCAGAAACATAGCTGAATGGAAAGAAAAGAAGATTCCCATACCCACTCGGTCCCCTAACCTACAACCTTCTCTCATCCACAAAGAGCCCTGTCTGGTTTTGCCCCAGAAGTGTATGTGACTCAAATAGTGTGTCTCTCCATGTGATGGCATTCATAGCTTATCTTCCTATCTTCCTTTTCTCCCTTTAACATTATCTTTTTAAGATTTTTTTTTTTTTTTTTTTTTTTTTTTTTTTTTTTTGAGACAGAGTCTCACTCTGTGGCCCAGGCTAGAGGGCAGTAGCGTGATTTTGGCTCACTGCAACCTCCTCCTCCCTGGTTCAAGTGATTCTTCTGCCTCAGCCTCCCCAGTGGCTGGGATTACAGAAGTGTGCCACCACACCCAGCTAATTTTGGTATTTTTAGTAGATTCAGGGTTTCACCATGTTGGCCAGGCTGGTATTGAACTCCTGACCCCATGTGATCAGCCCGCCTCAGCCTCTCAAAGTGCTGGGATTACACGTGTGAGCCACTGCACCCAGCGTAAGATTTTTTACATTATAAAACTAACATGTTAGTTAACAACTGAAAAAAAAAAAAAAAAAAAAGCAAAGAAGAATAAAGAAAACGTTAATGATCTCCTCTCCCTTCTCAATTAGCCTTTTCCCCAGAGGTAATTAAAACTAACAGCTAACTAGTTTTAATTACTAGACTAAAACTAGACCTAACTCATTCATTAGAATTGCCCCTTCCATCCTCTTATTGCTCCTACAAAAATAGACAAGCAATTATTCAGTCATTGAATTTAAAAAAAACCTTTGAGTACTACCATGTGTCAGATACTGTTCGAGGCATATATAATACAAGATGGGTCAAAGTCCCCTCATCGAACACATATATCAGAGTGAAGAGAAAGATGATAAACAATGTACATACTTTTTTGTTTTTTGAGAAGAAGTCTTCCTCTGTCACCCAGGCTGGAGTGCGATCTTGGCTCACTGCAACCTCTGCCTCCTGGGTTCAAGTGATTCTCCTACCTCAGCCTCTCGAGTAGCTGGGACCATAGGAGTGCGCCACTATGCTCGGCTAATTTTTGTATTTTTAGTAGAGATGGAGTTTTACCATGTTGGCCAGGCTGATCTTGAACTCTTGACCTCGGGTGATTTGCCCACCTCAGCCTCCCAAAGTGCTGAGATTACAGGTGTGAGCCACTGCGCCCAGCCTGTACATACATTTTTTTTAAAAGAAAGATAGAATCACCCTGCACACTGTATTCTGCACCTGAATTTTCCCCTAAAAATTATATCATGAACATCACCCCAAGTTAGTAAAGATAGACCTAACTCATTCTTTTTAGTACATGCATAATATTCTGTAGTATACATGTACCATAACAATTATGGAGCAACTAAATCTTATCCAGTTGCTAGACATCCAGATTGATTCCAGGATTCTGCATTTAAAAACAGTGCTATAACTAGCATTCCTACATAAAAGGAACTCATACAACTCAGCAGCAAAAAAACCAAGTAATCCAATTTTTAAAATGGGCAAAGAACCTGAATAGACATTTTCCCAGAAAAGACATACAAATGGCCAACAGGTTTATGAAAAGGTGCTCAATGTCACTCATCATCAGGGAAATGCAAATCAAAACCACAATGAGATACCATCTCACACCAATTAGAATGGCTGTTAAGAAAAAGTTAAGTGTTGGCCAGGGTGTGGAGAAAGGGAACGCTTGTACTCTCTTGGTAGGAATGTGGATTATTACAGCCATTACTATAGAAAACAGAACAGAGATTCCTCAAAAAGTTAAAAATAGAAGTACCATATGGTCCAGCAATCCCACTACTGGGATTATGTATCCAAAGGAAATGAAATCAGTATCTCGAAGAGATACTTGCACTCCCATGCTCAGTGTGGCATTATTCATGATAGTCAAGATATGGTAACAACACAAGTGTCTAGCAAGACAGAGAAAGAAAATGTGACTGATGTCGGTGAGTGGATTTATATATCCTATTTACATTGTATATATTGTATGTATCACATTATCTGTCTATCTATCTATCTATCTATCTATCTATCTAGTCATTCCTTGATATTTGTAGGGAATTGGTTCCAGAAGCCCTCTCGGATACCAAAATCCCTGCAGGCTCAAGTCCCTTATATAAAATAGCAATAAAACCTATGCGGATCCTTCTATATACTTTAAATCATCTCTACATTACTTATAACACTGAATGCAATGTAAATACTATGTCAATAGTTGTTATACTGTATTGTTTAGGGAATAATGACAAGAAAAAGTCTGTACGTGTTAAGTACAGGTACAACCATCTGTTTAAAAAATAAATTTCGCCAAGCATAGTGGCTCATGCTTGTAGTCCCAGCACTTTGGGAGGCTGAGGCAGGAGGATCACCTGAGCCCAGGAGTTCAAGACTACCTGGGCAACATGGTAAGAACCCATCTCTACAAAAAAATACAAAAATTAGCTGGACATGGTGGTGCACTCCTGTAATCCCAGCTACTCTGGAGGCTGAGGCAGAAGAACCACTTGAGCCTGGGTGGCCAAGGTTGCAGTGAGTCAAGATCATGCCACTGCACTCCACGCTGGGAAACAGAGTTAGACCCTGTCTCAAAAAAAAAAAAAAAAAATCCATTGATGAGAAACCCACAGATACAGAGGGCTGATGGTACATGCACAATGGAATATTATTCCAACATAAAAAAGAAATCCTGACATTTATGACAACATGGGTGAACCTGGAAGGCATTTTGCTAAGTGAAATAAGTCAGACAAATACTGTATGACCTCACTTATATATGAAATCTAAAAAAGTTGAACTCATAGAAACAGAGAGTAGTATGTGTTTGCCAGAGGCTGAGAGGTGGAGGATATCTGGAGACATTGGTCAAAGAGCACAAACTTTCAGTTATAAGATGAATAAGTTCTGGGGATCTAACATACTGCATGGGGACCATAGCTAATAGGCATGTACTGTATACCTGAGGGGTTGGAGGAGAAGAGAACAAAAATACAAACAAACAAATGGATCAGGTGCGGTGGCTCATGCCTGTAATCCCAGCACTTTGGGAGACCAAGGCGGGTGCATCACGAGGTCAAGAGATCAAGACCATCCTGGCCAACATGGTGAAACCCCGTCTCTACTAAAAACAAATTAGCCTGGCGTTGTGACGCACACCTATAGTCCCAGCTACCTGAGAGGCTGAGGCAGGAGAATCGCTTGAACCCAGGAGGCGGAGGTTGCAGTGAGTCGAGATCGTGCCACTGCACTCCAACCTGGCAACAGAGTGAGACTCCGTCTCAAAAAAACAAATGTACAAAACAAATATATTGAACAAAAAAAGAATGTATTGTACACCTAAAATTTGCTAGGAGAGTAGATCTCAAATGTTCTCACCACACATACATGTAACTATGTTAGGTGACAGATGTATTAACTGACTCGATTGTGGTAATCATTCCATAATATATATCTCTGTATATCAAATCATCACATTGTATACCTTAAATATATAAAATTTTATTTGCCAGTTATAAATATGTTATAGTTTTATGTCAATAAAGCTGGAAGAAATTCCTCTGTGTGTGTACATATATATCCATAAGTTTTAGTGACTTTTTAAATGTAAGATTTTAAAATGTAGAATTTATGAAATTTATATGTTTAAAATTTTAATAGCTACTTCAAAAAGGTTGTAACAGTGGGCAATCTGAAAATAACATACCATATTTATTGATAATTTTATTATAAGTTTGGGAGTTTTACCTTTGTTTAGAAAATTTATTTATCTGTCTCTGTCTCTCTCACACACATACCTCAAATTCTTAAATTTAACAGCTACATTGAGATGTAATTTACATACCACAAAGTTTACTCATTTACAATTCAATGACAGTATATGTACAGAGTTGTGCAGCTATCACCATTATTTAACTTTTGAACATTTTTCCCATCCTAAAAAGAAAACTCATAGCCATTGAACAGTCATTTCCCAGTCACCTCCTCCCATCACAGCCCTAGGCAACCACTAATCTATTTTCTGTCTCTGTGGATTTGCCTGTTCTTGGCATTTTGTATAAATGAGATAACACAACATGTGGTCTTTTGTGGCTGGCTTCTTTCACTCAGCACAATGTTTTTGAGGTTATTCATGCTGTATTCTATATCAGTATTTCATTCCTTTTTTATGGGTGAATAATATTCCATTTTATGGATAGACCACATTTTGTTTATTCTTGAGTTGACAGACATTTAGGGTGTTTCCACTTTTTGGCTATTATAAACAATGGTGTTATGAACATTCATGGGCAAGTTTTTGTGTGTACATGTTTCAGTTCTCTTAAGTAAATACTTGATCATGGAATTGCTGGGTTATATGGTAACTCTGTGTTTAACATTTTGAGGAACTTGTAAACTTTTTTCCCAAGGGGCTGAATAATTTACCATTTTCAGCATC